AAGTTGTTGGCCAAAGTCTTGGCTAATAGGCTTAGAGTTGTTTTCCAGGGGATGGTGTCTAAGTTCCTGAGTACTTTTGTATGAGGTCGCCAGATTTTGGATGCAATTTTACTGGCTAATAAGTGTGTGGATTCACGTATTTGGCAAGGGTAGGCAGATGTGATTTGCAAACTGGATATTGAGAAGGCATATGAGAATGTTAATTGCGATTTCTTACTATCCATGATGGATATAATGGGCTTTGGGGAGCCGTGGAGATGGTGGATTCATTTCTGCATCTTAACAGTGCAGATGTTTGTTTTGGTCAATGGGACACCAGCGGTAGGGCTGTTCACAAACCCATAAAATCCGAATAAACCGACTATAACTGACTCGAGCCATTGAGTCATGGTTGATTTCGCATCTTGTATGGTTGGTCGTTGGTTTGAAAATGTTAAATTTTTTAATAGATTGGTCGGTGTTCAGTCTTCTTGGAAAAAATATTCACTACACCTGATCTGTCCGAATGTGTAATGTAAAGTATGCGTGGCTTTTTAGGATTGGATGTCAAAAATATGTTTGATTTTTTGAGACTTAATCTCTTCTCTATTGAAACTCTCCATATATGCTTGGCACCTTATGATAGCATGTTAAATGATCACATCTTATCTCTTATTATGCCTTGTCAATTCAACTACTTTTTCTCTCTCGTAGTTATAAGCAGTCATTATGACTTTTCTCTTTTGCAGAGATCAATTAATGCTTTAAGAGACTATGCTCACTCTCTCATATCAGTCTCTTTGCTTTCTCATATCTAATCACAAAGCAGTGGTTTTTGTGCTCTCCTTGATATTTTTCTCAAACTAATGAGATCGTCCCCCTTATCTCTTGCATCGGCAGTGGCTCATCCTCAATTTTGACCATCTCCGGCGATGGTTGCTGATCTTTCTCTTGGCGATGGCCCTCATCTCCTTCTCTCTATTCCTCTTTAATCTCTCTCCTTCTCAAATCTCTCTCTAAATCCTCCCATTTATCTCATCCCTCTCTTAAATCTACTTGGTGGAGGTCTGTGCTTGAAGAGGAGATCTGTTACAGTTTCGACCGAAACGTAACTGCTAAATCTTCAACCCGCAGTGGCTAGTTTCGAGCAGTTAATTGAACGTAATCAGAAGATGGATTCTCCAATTCGAAGTGATCAAGTCAAGTGACGAGTGAATAGAGAACCCGACCCGGTTTGACCCGTGAACAACCCTAGCGGGCGGTCTTTTTCAAGACTTATCAGGGTTTGCGTCAAGGTGATCCATTGTCCCCTTTGTTGTTTATTATTTTAGTATGGAGGCCTTGAGTAGCGGCGCAAGGAGGATTGTTGGAGGGTTTTACTGTATGGTCAATGCCTTCAGATTCTCTTGGGGTTTCCCATCTTCTATATGTGGATGACGCCCTTTATTTTTGTGGGGATGAGGCGGACCAGCTGAGCCATTTGAGGTGTGTTTTGTTGTGCTTCGAGGCAGTGTTAGGTCTTCGGATCAATTTGGCAAAGTCAAAGTTGATTCCAGTGGGCAAGGTTGATAGGTTGTCAATGTTGGCGGCCATTTTGGGCTATTAGGTGCCGTCTCTTCCTATGTTGTATTTGGGTTTGCCTTTGGGAGCTACTTTAAGGCGAGGAAGGTGTGGGATGGTGTTGTGGAGTGGGTTCGAAGGCAGTTGGCAAGGTGGAAGTGTCAGTATTTGTCAAAAGGAAGGAGGTTAACTTAGATCAAGAGTGTTTTGGCCAATATTCCGACCTGTTTTATGTCGGTTTGTGTGATAGAGAAGTTGCAATGAGATTTTCTATGGGCTGATCAGGGGAGAGGAGTTCAGGTTTCATTTAGTGGATTGGGGTAGGATTTGTCAGCCTAAGGAGGTAGGTGGGCTGGGGGTGTGGAGATTTGTGACGTTTAATTTGGCTTTGCTAGGTAAGTGGCTATTGCATTTTTCCTGGGAGAGAGAGTGGTTGTGGCTACAAAATATGGGGTTGGGAGGGAGTAGTGTATGAGGGATGTGGTTGGGACTCATGGTCATGGTCTTTGGAAATGGATTTGGTTGGGAAGGGGGGAGTTCTGGGGCAAGGTTAGTTTTTGCGTAGGTTTAAGCCAAGGGGTTCAATTCTGGCGAGATAAGTGATGGTGAGGTTTTGTTAGAGTTGATGTTTTTGTTGATCTTTTGGTTAGTTGTTGATCTGGAGGCTATGGTGGCATCTTATCTTGGGGGGACTAAGGGTGTGGTAGTTTGAGACATTAGCTTACGGTGTCAAGTTCTAGATTGGGAGGTTGAACAAATGGTGGATTTGCTGGCTTTTTTGTATGATGTGTGAGTGGTAAGGGTGGGGGAGGATTGTTTGGTGTGGTATAGGCCGGTGTGAAGGGTGTTTTCTTGGTGTCATCTTTCTATCAGGCCATGGTTGGTGTTGCGGTAGGGGTGTTTCCGTGGTGGAGTATTTGGGTGGCAGGTGCTCCCATCGATGGTGGCCATCTTTGTGTAGACAGTGGCTTTGAATGGGATTTTAAAAATTGATAATTTGGTTCACCATCGTTGTCATATTCTTGTGAATTGGTGTTATATGTGTTGTGGCAATGCAAAATTTGTGGATCATTTGCTTATTCATTGTCCTATGGCCTACCAGCTGTGGATGCTTATTTTTTCTATTTTTGGTGTCACTTGGGTTCAGCCGAGAGGGGTGACGGCGGAAGGCTTGGGCTTTGTCCCCGTTGTGCTTAATGTGGTTGTTATGGTAGGAGTGGAATTGGTGTATCTTTTAGGGGGAATCTCATCTAGCTTCGTGGTTAGAGAATAGGTTGTTAGTAGTCTTGTATGGTTGGGTTTTGGCTATGGTGGATCCAGATTTTTTTGCTTTTTTGGACTATTTGGATGACTTGATTGCTTGGGGGTTTGTGGCTCCATTTTGTATTCTTTGGCATCATCTTGATGCTCTTCCAATAAAATTTTATTTATTTATCCAAAAAAAAAAAAAGCCAGGCAATTGCGTTGAGGCTCAATGCCTTAAAAAGTTCATGGACTTATTTGGAACAATAACAAAGGAAAAGAAGTAAACAAAGGATAATATGGTTAAAAAATTTCCAAAGTTTACAAAAACTGGACTGAAATTACAATGTTGAACTACTCCTAAGAAAGATCTACTCCTAAGTATGCTATGCTACGCTAGTTTTGGTGAGTCGTTCTGTTGTCCTCCTTTGCTTCTATCTTCTGCCCCTTTGTATAGTGCTTCAAATCCTGGCCTCATCCTCCTTTTTTGTAGCCACTTCTCATTACTTCAAGGTCTTTGTAGATCATGCCCCCTGTTTCCTCTACATTTGCATGCCACTTCATCTTTAACCGCCCTTAACTCTTACACCAAGCCTTCCTCTCCCTCATGCTGATATCTCATTCTTCATATCTTGGCCACATGTCCTTTGCCTGTACTCTTCTCCACTTACTGCCACGTGTCATCTGTGGCTTGTTCCTACTCTGTTGACAGACATTTTTACAAAAATGGATGCAAACACAAGTGTTGGTTAACAAATATCTAGTCCACATCTATCTACTTGCATGAGAAAGTATGCAAGCATTTTACATAAATTAGTGTCCTCAAAACATCAATTAGCAGACTTTTTTTTTGGTTGGGGCCAAAACATAAGAAGCTTTCATTAATAGGAAAAATTATTAAGTAGTCCCGGAATATTGTGTGAGATTGATTACGTGGTGTTTCCATTAAATATGGAACCACAAAACACACTAGGTGAGTCATCCAATGTGTCTCAACTACCTAACAAAGGTGGGTTATCATTATCCCACCCGTAAAAGTTTTTGGTACGACATTCATTAGGAGCATCATGTAAACAGTGTAACATGGTACTCTGAGACTATTAATAATAGAGAGGAAGTAAAAATACATCATAGTGGGCAATCATGCTCCCTAAGAGGAACAATTAGCCAAAATGGGGGGGAGTATACAACCATGTAGCAGTACCCTTCCAAGAATTAATAGATGTGTTCATACTGACAAATTTTCGTTATCGTTTTTTTATCATCTCTTACATAGTTTTATCTGGGTTTGTACGCTTTTTGTTTCTCGGCCTACTAGATTAGCTCTTATCTTTACCGTTTTGAGATCTCAAAATCCAAACCCATCTGCAAGCACTCTACTACAAATTAAACTTGATTAATTTTTGACTCAACCTTCTTATATATATATATCCAGCTCTAGATTCTTTTCCTTGAAGATTGATTTATCAGGCTGTTTTAAGCTGTGAAAACAGAAGCGAGAGTAGGGTGGTGGGTGGTCTGTCATATCTCCTTTCTTCTTTAATCTTTCCTCTTCATCTGCTCTCCACATTTTTTATATTTATTTTTGGGTTGTAAATATCATTTTCATTAGTAGCATTTCTTATTTTTCTTCAGTTTTGTAAGTTATTTCCAAAATTTGATCTTGTTGTCTCGTGTAAAAAGCTCTTTTTCTGTTTAATTTTATTGTGTTTCCAGATCAGCTCTGCTTTTTTTTTTTTCCTTTTTCCCATTGCATTCACTATTAGATTTAAACTCTTCTTTCTGTGTGGGGTTCTGTTTCTTGTTTCCTATTTGGTCACAATTTATGTAATTGCAAACCTTCGCTGCACAACATAAAAATGGAGAGTAGTTAGTTTTTCATAACCATTATGGTCCTAACAAAAGCTGTGTATTTTTCTTGTTTAACCAAAAGTTGAAACTTTGGCCAGTCCTCAATTGTGTTTTAGTATGTCATTTAGATTAGATAGGAAGCTAACTATCTAGCAAGCAGATTCATAGTACAATAGTAGTATAGTATGGGATTTTGGGGTACTATTAATACTAGCATTATGTTAATACCCTAAACCTTCTTTTACCATACAAATATTTAAGTGGTTCACATTATTCTAGTAATTACAAGAATTTATTTTTAAGTGTATTGGCGAAATATATTAATTAAGTAAAATGCAATTTCCAGCCAAAAATACAAATAATATTTATTCCCCAATTTCTGCTTCCTCTTCATCTTGCAATATTATTCTTGGTGTGCGTGTATTGCGATTGATTTATCATCAATACGATACTATCTAAAGTTTTTCTGGCAAATGAAAAGCTCCGATCACTGCTTTGGAGCTATGTCTCCTTTCCTCAATTGCACTCTGTTTAGTCGTCGTATCATCGCGCTGAATCAGGTTCATATCTTCAAGTAGGGTTTGTGTTTTGTGAGTTGTATAATTTTTTGATTGATCAGTAGCTGTTTCATTAAGGTTTCTTAGGGTTTTGACTTCAATTCCCACTACCCTAATTGGTTCCGTTTGTTCATCGCTAATTGACTTATTCATCTACCTGCAAAGAAATTTGGTGCTTTTTAATTGTATATTGAAAATTGTTAGTTTCATCTAAATTTTCTGTTCAACGTGTAATTGCAATCAACCATGACTGCCCCTGTCATTTATCTCATATTGTCAACTGTACAGATTTGGACAGCGGACCTGACTGTATAGTTGCACTTAGGGATGGCCATTTTAATCTGATCCGCGGGACCCGCCGATACGTGCCCCAATGGGGCGGATTTTACCCGTCCCGACACTTATGTGGGGCAGGAGTGGATTATATTTATCCGCAGGGCCCGCCGATACGTGCCCCAATGGGGCGGATTTTACCCGTCCCGACACTTATGTGGGGCAGGAGTGGATTATATTTTGGTCACCCACAGCAGGGCTGGGGCAGGGGCAGGTATCGCCTCTCCCGGTCCAAGCTCGGCCCAATATAATTAATAATGTATAAATAAATAATATATATGTATATATAATATAATTAATAATATATATGTATATATATAATATAATTAGATATAAAAAGGAATATTAAGGGTATGTTTGGTTTGAGTTTGAGAGATATGTTTTAGAAATAAAAAGTACGAAAAGTTGTTTGGTTTGGTTTTTTTCAAAAGAAATAATATATATGTATATATATATATATATATAATATAATTAGATATAAAAAGGAATATTAAAAGTTTGTGGTTCTGTTTAAATATAAATAAATAATAATCCTGAAAGTCTCACTATTTATATATATATGGAAACAAGGAAAATTATTTAGTGTGCTAAGGATTTAAATGGTTGTCAATTTTTTTGGATATTTAAAATGTGGTCGGTATCCACAAGGTTGGGGATGGGATTAAAAAATTTGCCCTTAGTGGGGTGGGGCGGGGGTGGGGTTTGTCTGCGGGGACGGGGAATGCCAAACCCGCCCCATGGCCCTAGCCCCTCTGGCAGTATTGCTCCAGCATACATCAGTTAACCCAAACTTAACCCAACCCACAAATCGAAAAATGGGAAATAAATAATTTGGCCTGTGTTGCATAGCAAAGCTTTTTGTTTTGTACATCAAGTGGTCCCATTCTTGCCCTGCCAATTTTTTAATCGGCGCCCTGAAAGATTGCACCCATAGAACTCTATTCATTTTCGTTGTTTTTGTGGTTTAGAACATTAGGCATCTTCATGTTTGATTGAACCATCATTTGCCATGTTTCAATTATGTTCTTCACATCTATGTTTGATGCCATTTTAGAAGTTTTTGTTATTCATCAAATCCTTCTCATCACACAATTGTGTTGCAGTGTTCATACTCAAGAGTCTATAACTGCAATTTTTGTGAGTCAATGAAATTGTTTAGAGTGAACTTCGATGGCAATCCTTAAGAAATTGGATAGGTTAATTGAGTCCTACACTATATCTTGACTAGTTTTGTGGTTCATAATTAACTAATGTGAATTTTAAGTAGTTCAACGCAGTATCAGGGTTGCTAATTGTTGTGAGATATCATGTGGGTCTCAGTAGTACAATATTACTTGCTTCTTTACTTATTTAAGTTGTAAATTGTTTAAGAATCTTATAATGCATTGGACTAGTCAACCACTAATGAGCTGATGACATTTCTCTGAGTATCTCTGCACCCTTGGAACTCTTTGGCCTGGCTGTTAATTTTCACTCTTCTGCTTGATCTCATCATTCATTAGTGGCATATATTTCAGTAAACTGGTAATTTTTGTTATGTTATATAACTTATGTTTGATATATCACTCCCAGTCTTTTCTTCTTCATTATTTATTTATTTATTTACATGTGCAAGCAAATAGTGTCCTAACTAGCAAATAAAACTTTATTTTGGGACTTACCAGTTTGCCCACTTTTTTTTTTTTTTTTTTTTTTTTTTTTTGTGTGTGTGTGTGTGTGTGCATCGTCTAATTTAGAAGCTTGCCTAGGGCCCCTAAAAGCTCAGGGCCAACCTGCAAGCCATGGCGGCATCCGATCCTGAATAGTTGATGATCAAAAGCGATAAACTGTCAGTCTCTCTCTCTCTCTCTGTATATATTATATGTATGCGAGCATTCTTATGTACAACAGACAATTTTTCTTTGGTTTATTTATTTATTTTATATTAATAAAACTCGATTTAGTAGTAATAGTTGAATTATGGTTAGTTTGTCATGGTAACTGAACTTCTGTTTGTCTGTGCCTTTCGTTTTGAAGTGGAAATAAAATACAATTGGTGAAATTTGATTAAATGTGTGAATTTGGGTTACAAAAATGGAAGCTGAAAATTTGTTGAAATTATTCAGATTAACTAGAATCTACAATTCAGTTTTATAATAAACAATGAAATATGTAGAAATTTAATGTATAAAGAGAAATAGAGAATTGTATTATTGATTGATTTATATTGATATCTATTACAATGATTCATGATTCCTATATATAGAAGAGGGTGAGTGTGTATTAGGTAAGGAGTAGGTGAAGTGGAGGTGGTAGTGGTGTAGTGGGTTAGGTTTAGTGGAGTAGGTTTAACAGCCCCCCTCAAACTCAAGGAGGTTAGACACAAACCAACTTGAGTTTGGAGAGAGTAACAAAACAAGAAAATACATAAAAATAAAAGAGGATAGGAGACACTGTATGGTCGTGTCAGACCATTGGTGAAGACACTGGAATTTCAGACGTTTGGAGAAAATAAATAAAAATAATGGATTTTGAAATCAAACGGAGGAGAGAGAGGGGACAAGCCCATGTGAGAGAAAGAGGGGAAAAATGATAGCCGATGCACCCAAAAATAATCTAGCTGCTATCCACAGGCGCTTAGGGGAAGGAAATGGTAGCAAGAGACGGCCAACACCATATATGGCTATAGCAAAGAAATGGAGTATCAAGCTCAATGGGCTAGGATTTAGACCAGAGAGTAAAGCCACTGGTCCTGTTGAACATACACCTCCAAGGCTCAAATAATCAAAACATGCTTCACGCATTTCCTTCCTTGCTTGATCAGGAGATGCACAAAACACCTTATACAGGGCTCCAGTCATTCCTCCACCAGTTAAAGGATGACGCATGTTGAAAGCATCACCTATTAATAGTGCTCCAGGAGTAGAGTAAGGAGCAGCTGGCATACTTCTATTGGGCATTGTTCTAATACTTCCCTTATCAATTGCAGCTATAAATGAATCATGCAGCTCAGGTGGAACCTGGGGAGCCACCAGAGGGAAGCAAAGCCGAAGGCTGTAAAAGCGAAAAAGGAAAAGAAGGCTCCGGCTAAGACAGAAGCTGCTGCGCCAAAAGCTAAAGCCGCTGCGAAGCCCAAGCTAGCGGCAAAGGCCAAGCCAGCTGCGAAGCCAAAAGCTGCTGTGAAACCGAAGGCTGCCGTGAAGCTGAAAGCTGCAGTGAAGCTCAAGGCTGTGGCGAAGCCCAAACCAAAGCCGAAAGCGAAGGATCCTAACAAGAGGCAAATGAGCATGGAGGAGAAGCATAGATTGAGTGTTGGGTTGCAGAGTTTGTCCCAGGAAAAGATGCCACAGTTAGTGCAGATTATGAAGAAGAGGAATTCACATTGGCCTCAAGAGAGAGGATTTAGGCAGTGATGGGAAGGTATGTGTAGAAAATAAGCGGAATAGGTTGAGGTCCGGCGGGCGGCCAAGGCGAGGTTGCCGCTCGCCGGTGAAACGAAAAATACTAAGTGCTTAACCTTGCTCTGATACCATGTAGAAATTTAATGTATAAAGAGAAATAGAGAATTGTATTATTGATTGATTTATATTGATATCTATTACAATGATTCATGATTCCTATATATAGAAGAGGGTGAGTGTGTAGTAGGTAAGGAGTACGTGAAGTGGAGGTGGTAGTGGTGTAGTGGGTTAGGTTTAGTGGAGTAGGTGAGGTGGTAGTGGTGTAGTGGGTTAGGTTTAGTGGAGTAGGTTTAAGTGGGTGAAGTAGGTGGAGAGTAGGTGGATTTTAACAAAATATAAACTGACCAAACCACACTTAAGCTTTTGTCCCAATCAGGTGGGTTGGCTATATAAATCTTGTTTTTGCTATTTGTCAAGGGCTTTATGTGCAGTTAAACTAAATAAATTCATATATTTTTTTACTATGGCATCTCATGTTAGTTTTGATCTTCCTCTCCGCCTAATATTTCCATTTACCGTGATCATGTCACTGTTCGTCTTCCCTTCCACCTAATATTTCTATTTAAAGTGATCATATCACTGTTCCTTATCTACAGGTTTTTATTGTACATGACAAAACTATCTTAACTTTGTACTCATTCAACTTATCTTCTTTTGATGTTACTTCTATAATTTCATTAATATATGAATTAATGTATGCATTTTATGAAGTGTTGTTTCTTAGTTGTGCTACATTCTATCACATAAAGCATCGTTAGCTTTATAGATGTTCTATAAAATTAACTTTTCAATTTTCTATTCTACTTAGCTAGCTTACTTTGATTTCTATGGATCACATCAGCACTCCATCCTTATTAAAAATCAAATCTAGATAATAAAAATATTCACTCTGTTATCTCCTAGTTGTCATGTCCAATTCTCCATTATTTCTACTTTTATTGTTGCTAAAGTAACAATTCATGTATAGTTTTACTTCTACTAATTTTAAGCTCTTTTGACTCACGTGTTTCTTTTCGAAATTTATATTTTAGTGTTAATTCCTCCCATAGTTTTAGTATCTGGTCGAGCAATATCATCTCCCGTCCTAAATAAAATATCTTTGCATCCTTTCAAGTCTCCTGGCTGCCAATAAAAATATGGGGATCAAAGATATGAAGTAGGAAAGTTTGATGAGGTACTTTTAATCAACCTATCACATTTGACAAAAATTGCCTCCTCAATCCTGCCAATCACCCTTGAAATCTTTCAACAACTGAATAACAAACATGCCTTGGCTTACAAGTCACTGTCAATGGTAAGCCTTAATAAGTAGAATGGAGGTGCACTCTACACCCAAAAATCGAAGCTAAGCGCCAACATTATGATATTGTATTGTTTTGTTCTTGTTAAGTTGATGGAGGAAAAATTGATTTTGCGGATTTTTTTTTGTTGTCGAGAAGATTTTGTTAGGTCCAAATAATAACCTTTTTTCTTTTCTTCTTTACAAAAATGCTACTTGTGTCCAAGTGTCAAAATTGATTAGTTCTTTCATTATCATAGAACACAACTCAGCCTAACAAGGTGGAGTGCTGATTGGAAGAGCGCTACTCTTTTGTATGAGCAGGCTGGTAGGTAATTTATGCATGCTTTTGTAAACTTTGAATTCATTTCTAGCATTATATTTATTTTAAATTTTACTTCATCATTACTACTATAATGTACTTACGTCATCCCAAAATGTGTGTTATGCATGAGAAAGCACAAATTTAAGAAAATAACAACAAACACAATCAATTTATCTTTTGGACTAACTCTATAATTACTCTTAACTGAAGAAGCACGAACATTGACTGACACATCACACGACATAGACACACCAACACGACAATTTTCAAAAAATGAAGGACACGACCCATGAGGGACAATCAAAATATATGATTTTATATATTTATTATATATCATATATATGCATATTTAGTTCAAAGTTAATAAAAATATACAACATAGTAAAAAAATTTTAAGTTAAAAAAATGATGGATTAATATGTATATCTAAATTGGTTTTCTTTTATCATTTGACCTTAAGTTATTTTATTCAAATTTGTAATGGATTTCATGTGTGTCTAATCGATGGACATGTGTGTCTCCCAAGTGTCCAAAGCATGTTTGAGTCTATAACAAAGTTTTAAAAAATAATTGGATATGTTTGGACATGTGTTTGACACGTGTCGGAAGTGTCCAATGCGTGTTGGGAAGTCTCCAACAAGTATTGATGTCTAACATGTGTCAACATGGTCACACCATCTTCTTAGAAGTGTCCGTACTTCTTAGCACTTAACAAATTTGAGAAGTATTGTTTTTGTGTTCATTTATGGGATTTGTAATATACTTTATTGGAAGGGGAAATAAGGAGAGTTGAAAAATTGCTTTACTTTTTCATTATGGAAATTCGTCATTTGAAAGCCAAAATATAATGAAGTCTAAATTTTGCATTATCATTATAAGCCAAACTATGGAAAGAAAGATATACTTTAATTTCTTCATGAAGATTGTTTCTTCTGCTGTAGCTAATGGATTCAGACTTGCCAAAAATTATGAGAAAGCAAAAGCTGCATTTGAGAAAGCTTCCAAAGGACAAGAGATGCTCTCTTCGTAACCTCCTTTTCTTCGACTTTTGTTGCTCACTCATTGGGTCTAACTTGATCTTTTATTTTAGCCTTTTAGGTATAATTGTTTATACTACGGTTCTATCTTTAATGAGAATAACAGGCCCTGGGATGCTGCTAGGCATTTGGAGTCTGCTGCTGCACTGGCAAAAGAATTAGGCAGTTGGAGTGAGGTTGCTGACTTTTATAGAAGGCCATCTGAATTATACAATGAGTGTGGGAGGTCACAACCAGCATCGGATGCTCTTGCAAGAGGTGCTCGGTAGGCATCTGCTTTGACCTCTTCATATCTTAGCTTTCATTTTACATTTTTCTAATTATGTGTTTTTCTATGTATGAGTGGAGACTTTTCTTTTTTTTTCTTTTTTTTTTCAAAAAAGGGAGAATATTAGAAATTCCAGTAATTGCTCATTTCTAAAAAAAAATATGGCTTTTCTCTTTTGGGTTCCTTGCACTATCAGATACAGAAATGACTGTGTATCCTTGCTTTCTTATTTATTTATTTGTTTATTTGTTTTTCAACAATTGGGGAAAGAGATAAAAAGAGAAGTCATTTAGAATTTTGCTTTTGCAATTTTTGCTCATGGTTTCAATCAGATCTACTTATCAAATTAATAATTATTTGGATACCCTACACAAATATTATTATATGTGTTTCATCTTTGTAGTTGCATCTTATTTCATATCTAAACCTTTTGTTGCTTTCTTATTTGTATAATTTTTCTTTTCTCTTTTCCTTGTCTTGATATTATTATTGCTAAGGATAATGTCCAAGAATCTTATAGTCATTCATCATGATGAAAGTGTCACGATCCCATCTCACCCCGAAAATGAGATAAGAGTACTGATCAACCGATAGTCATGAACCTAGTTGGACAATCATATTGTACTGATGAAAAAATTGGGATAAATTCATCACAAAAAGCGAAAGCTTTTAAATTCTTTAACCTGTTTAATCCTACAACATCCATTCAAAGTAGGTGTGTAGATAAATGAAATAAAAACAAACCAGTTCATTGTTTATTGTTGCCACCATCTAACTTAGTCACAAAAGGAGTACAGCTTGAATCAAAAGAAAACGTAATGAATAACACATTACTTTCTTGAAAAGACTAAAACATGCGGATATTCACATCATAAATACATATATACAATGTTGTGCACACATCTTAATCACCTTTTTCACCTACATAAATATAGGGGAGAGGGGTGACCCAAAGCGCAATGAATAACATTAACTCAAAGCTACAAAAGTAATGGATATGTTCATGCTTATGATAATAACATAATTGCACAAACTTAATCAACTTTAAGACAAAACAGTATCAGATGCATTTTATTTCTAAAAAGTGATAGTAAATCCAATGGTGCGAACAAAGGAATAACCAGGTCAACTACCAGTTAAATAAACCCACACACGTGGCAAACAAGATCTCAACCATAGGTTACTATCATATTTTTTGTCCATTAGTAGCCAGGTTTAACCAAGGATGCCATTTGTATATTTCTAAACGTAGATAACATAGGACATCCGTTGATATCAAGCATTACGGTTCATAACAAAAGTTTGAAAATAGAAGTTCAAAGCTTAAACTTTGATGAAACACTACTCACCTTGATTTCCTTGAAGTAGGTTAATCCACAAAGTTTATTGGCCTACATAACATAGATAACATAGGCAATTCTTGTTGGTACTAATCATATAGGTATTTAAGGTAACAAGCTTAATTGGAGAAATCTTCTCTCAATCCAAATCATATTAGGTAGGTCAAAGCATTGAAGTGTTGTTTAGTAATCCTCTTATACTTTAAAATAAGTTCCAAAGGTTAAATATGGCCCCTAACAATTCAAAACATGTGAAAAATAGTAAACTACCAAAATTGCTGGATTTTGCTCAAGCGAGAGTCAGGGTCGCTCGAGCTGTTATTAATAGAGGTCTCCAAATTTTTTGATATTTAGTGAATTTTTTAAATATTTTTTCACAAATATTATACTTTCTAAGTATATTTATGTTAAGTGTATCTAAAAAAAAAAGCTTAAAATATTAAAAAAATTCAATAAAAACAAAAAAACACAGAAAACAAAAAATTTCAAGCTAAAAACAAATCCATTTTCAATACAAATCTTATCAATTAAATGATCATAAAGTGATGCAAGAACATGAATTTACCTTGAAGCAAGCTAAAAACAATCATAGGTCAAGAAATTGAGCTTTTTGCCCTTCCTTTTCTTCTATTTCCTCTCCTCTTTCTCTCTCTCTCTCTCTCTTTCTCTCCTTTCTTTTTCCAGCTAATTTCTCTCTTTCCTTGTTTTTCTTTGATTCATTTTGAAAAGAGACACTTGTCGTCGCTATAATACATGTATATATCTATTCCGAGTATGAGGTGGCACTCCAAATTATGGTGTGCGCCTACTTCATATCAACTAATCACATAATTAACTTAACTAATCGTGATTAACACTAATTAAGCTACGTTAGGTATCTAACCATGCTTGAATTAACTAATTGTGGTTTGGCTTAATTCATCACGCTTAATATCTACTAATCTCGATTAATTTTTCACAGAACATATGAAATTATCCAGACTAATGCAATTAAGCACCTTGATTCAACACATGAACATACCATATTCAAAAGAGAATTTGCAATCTTATATCTCTTAAGGTCTGATTCATTTCATAAAAAAGCATATAGGTGTTTTCTATTCAAGGAATAATGTCCCTAAATTATGTTTTAAAAATTCATCACAGCATACTGCATAGCATTTCATATTAAGGGAACTAATTCAGCTTAAAGCATTCAATCATGAAATGGAACATGCACATGTCATGTAAGAACACCAAGGGGGTTACTGTAAGTTTATTCTCTGGAATCTCACTTGCTAATAGATATTCAAATGGAACAATTAGCGTGTAGGGCTGCACTAGCATGCAAATGGTTGTTCCTCTTCTCCTTTAATCCCTTTCTTTGTACAGTGTAAGATAAAGAACTATAATCTAACTACAGTATATTTGTTTTCTTTGCTGCTATGTTTGCCCTTCATGGGTTTCTGTAGCGTATTTTTCTAATTCTAAATGATTGCCTGATATGAATATTATTTTTTTACAGTGTTTTGGAAGATAATGCACCTGCTGAAGCTATTCGGTTGTACACTGATGCTTGTGATATTCTTGAAGAAGATGGCAAGGAGCAAATGGCATTTGATCTTTATCGTGCTGCCACAAGTCTTTATGTAAAGCTTGAGAAGTAAGGACATTTTTTTTCGTCACAACAAAGGCATAACACATGTCAGTATTTTGTAGTTACTTCAATGGCGTAAGGAATCACCAGTGTTTTTCTTATATATTTTGTATTTTTCTATTATTCACTTTGTGGATATCTCCTCCAAAATCATGTGTTGTGTACATGTACATGACAACATGTACTTCACGTGTTGGATAAAGGATTCACGTGTTGGATAAATATTGATGGATGTTATTATCATTGATAACATTGTCACCACCAGATCTAAGAAGGTAGTGGGAGTAGTGACTTGGCGGAGATGGACATTGTTTTTTTCCAGAAAAATGGTTGGAGAATTGTAGAAAAACATTGTCGGAAAAATATTGACGGAGGTCAGAGGTAGTCGCCGGCAATCAAAGATGGCAGTCGGAGGTGGTCACCGGCAGTCGAAGGTGGTTGCTAGTGGGGGGACGGGGGTGTCATGGCAGTGTTGATAATGGGGATGAAGAAGGTTAGGGGAGGGCATTTTGGGGATATTGATATGTGGAAAAAGAAGTAGGACTTGTAGGTAAATAAGGCTGGCCAATAGGATCGGCCTGTAAATGCCCCTAATTGTTATAAAGCTATGCGTGTTTATTAGAACTAAACATAGTTTCTATATATATAGAAGAGAAAAAAAAAAAATCAATGTGTTGGAGCTCTCCTCTGACTTATTTAAATATGAATTTGGTAATTTTTGTTGCAATATTGCTGCCAAATACGTGAAGTTTTCTTGGACTGATGCGTTGTCTCTCAATCTGCTTAGTTGTGAGCAGACTTCATAATACAATATAGATAATGTAAAAAATAAACTGATGTATTATTGATTGATATCTAATTGTTGTTATAATTTACAAATGTTGAGGTGCTGTTTATATAGGAGATGTTGAGTGTGGTAGTGGAGTGTAGTAGGTGAAGTGGAGGTGGTAGTGGAGTGTAGTAGGTGAAGTGGAGGTGGTAGTGGAGTGTAGTAGGTAAGGTAAATTCTAACAGATAATATGTGATGTACTTGTGAATTATTTTTTATGTTTATTAATGTATTAAAATTATTATGCCTTCATTTACCATTTCTTCGATGGTGTGACATTCAAGACAATGTCGTTATTGCTTAAATAATTCTTAATGTTATGGAGTTCTGTGCTATATGTTATTTTTACCACTTTGTTCTCAAATCTCAAATAATTGGTACTAATTGTTTGTTTTCTAATTGGTCTTGCATGTTTGCTGAAGCAAACTAGGTGAAATCTCATCTTCTTGACTTAAGCTTGTAGTGTTGCCAACCTGTGCCTACTGTCCAAGTATTGGCTTGAGTTTTGCATGTACACGTTGTAGTCATTCCTCCTTTCTTAGATGATGTGACATCTATGACAATGTGGTTATTGCTTAAATAATTGTAAATTTTATGGAGTTTTGTGCTATATGTTATTTTACCACTTTGTCCTCATATTTCAAACAATTTGGTACTACTTGTTTGTTTCTAATTGATCTTACATGTATACTGAACCAAATTAGGTAAACTCTCATCTTCTTGACTTAAGCTTGTAGTGTTGCCAACAATTAAGAAGGGTTGTGCCTAGTGTTCAAGTATTGGCTTGAGTTTTTTTCATATACACATTGGAGTCTTGCTTTTTGATACGTAATGTGACACCTGACATGGCCATCTCACTTCTGGAAACATCCATGGGCAGCTCCATGGAATGTTAACTTCATGTCTACATACATACATTTTGGTGCTTTTATATATTTGTGAATCGTTTCTAATCTATTAGCATTCATATTCTTATGTGCTTAATGTAAAATAAATTGATGTATATTATTGATTGATAGATTACAAGATTGATAAATTACAATTCCTATACAATCTATATATAGAAGAAAATGTGGTAGTAGGTGTAGTGGAGGTGATAGTGGGTTAGGTGAAGTGGAGTGTGTGGTGAAGTGGAGGTAGGTGAAGTGGAGTGTGTAGTGGAGTAGGTGAAGGTAAAGATAGTGGGTTAGGTCATATGCCTTCATTTACCATTTCTTCGATGGTGTGACATTCAAGACAATGTCGTTATTGCTTAAATAATTCTTAATGTTATGGAGTTCTGTGCTATATGTTATTTTTACCACTTTGTCCTCATATCTCAAACAATTTGGTACTGCTTGTTTGTTTCTAATTGATCTTACATGTATACTGAACCAAATTAGGTAAACTCTCATCTTCTTGACTTAAGCATGTAGTGTTGCCAACAATTAAGAAGGGTTGTGCCTAGTGTTCAAGTAGTGGCTTGAGTTTTTTGCATATACACATTGTAGTCTTGCTTTTTGATACGTAATGTGACACCTGACATGGCCATCTCACTTCTGGAAACATCCATGGGCAGCTTCATGGAATGTTAACTTCATGTCTACATACATACATTTTGGTGCTTTTATATATTTGTAAATCGTTTCTAATCTATTAGCATTCATATTCTTATGTGCTTAAAGAGAACTTTTGGTTAATGTAATTTATTTGTTTATCACCTACAGATATGCAGATGCTGCAACTTTCCTGTTGAGATGGGGTTTAGCAGCTGATAAGTGCAATGCTACCCATAGCCAGTGCAAGGTGTCTAAGCTTTTTGATCTTGCACCTTCTTTCTTTTTCATCATGTTTTTCTGTTATTTGGAATTTTTCTTTTTTTCCCCTCTTTCTGTGTCATATTTGTCTGAAACACCTTACCTGCATCAACTGTGATATTCCTTTTGTAGTTTTTGCTAGATGTAGGCTTTGATAGTTTCATGCTCCTGGTAATGTGGCTCTGTAATGATTCCCAAATTTTCAAGGAATTAGATGCTATTTGGGTCTTGCCTTCGTAATAGCCTTGAACTCATACATGTTTCTATGCATTCTTGGTCGCAACCTTCTGGTTGATTGGGTCTCTATTTTTCTCTAGCCAACAGTAAGAATTTAACCCAATACCCACACCACCTTAATTGTACATTTGTCTTTACCACTGTGGTTTGAAACACTGGTGTAAAAAGTTTTCATTACATCATCCCCCATATTGAACGAGACTCAAGTCAACGATAGATTGAGAACGATTGGAAAGTTGATGACAAAGAAGCAATATTTTTAAGTAAGTTAAAAAAATGCATGGAAACTCTTTCAAACAAATTTTTTTTTTGGGATTGACGTGGAATTGTCAATTAATTGTTATTTCTTGGACTCTGTTGGAAATAGAGACTTTGACACAGCCTAAAAAACAAACGATCACTAAGGAGTGTGCTCCCTTTTATATATCAGGATTAATGTATATTCTGAGTGAAAAGGTATGACTAAATTTAGTGAATTGATTAGGTTAGAGGTAATGGCAAGATCTACAAGAAGGGAGAGGCACTCCCCAAAAAATGTGGGATATCGATCAAGATAACATATGGTCGTCTATAACTAGATGTAATGAAACCATAATAAGCTAATAACATGTGAATTTACGAGACCTCTGAGTGTCTAAGTGTCGCAGAGGATATTGGCGCCACTACATGTTAAGGTTGCTCTACTAACAGGGTGTTACACCAGCCAGAGGTAGCCTTGGATCAACTCGGGCCTGTGCTCTCTTGCTCTCTCCCTCCCTTCTAGGCCTGTCTTAGCTCTCACCTAGCCAACCTTTGGTAACGTAATAGTGCCATCTCAATGACCACTATACTTCCCAAAAGGTTTCATGTACCCACCATCATCTCCATCCACCCATAAAATGTGGGTACATGGGTATGCCTGTCAATTGGTCTAGCCTTGTCAAGGCATTTAAAGGCAACCTTTAATGAGCCTTCTAGTTGTTCTCAGACTCTCTCCATCAATCAAGCGAACTCTCTATCCAAGCACACCCATCTCACTCACGGAAATACACTTGAACTTATTTTGGCCCAGCTACAGTGGTGCAACTAAGGGCACGAAGCACACCACATGCCTTAGTCTTGCATTAACCCCTTGGAGATTTCTAGGTCTACTTTTTACCTAGGCAAAGTATAGGTCAATGTGGTATTTGGATAACCAAGTGTCAGCTATAGGATGAGTATTGTTTGAGTACACTTGAGTGGAGGGTTGACGCTTGGTTCTCCAAATACCACATTGAATTACACTGTGCCTAAGTCAAAAGCAGTCCTAGGAATGCTCATGGGGGCTGAGTGTTTTTCTGGTTCTAGGAATGCTCTTTCTGCTGATCATAGGATTCTGTTGATTAATGAAGGAACAGAACAAATGAGGAGGGGCTAAACCCAATTATACGAATAGGGCATAATGAAACCATTGAACCTGGTAACTTAATGACTTTTTCTGGGACATGTGACAACCTCGGGTATTAGGAATGAGCTATTTTGAGGGGAGAACTAATGAAAAATGAGAAATGGTTGTGGGTCTATTTTTTTTACCATTGATGAGGAAGGGATGAATCAGGTAAAACAAATTCGTCATAGCATGGTCGTGTCTTTGGTAAAATTTATGTTTATATTAAACAGGTACTTGAGTGTCATCGTTTCACGCTTCTCATATTTATGTCAGACACTAGCACTTGTATCTTTTGGTCCTTTCAAAGTCCTATTTGTTTGATTGCCAACACAAATGCAAGTTGGTTAAATGGTTGTCATGTCAGCTTAGAGGAGAGCATTTAACTGATTTATTTATTTATTTTTGTAACATGTGTAATAATGACATGAATTCCCAAGCTATGAAATTATTTTGGTCCTGCTTTTGTAACTTTTGCACAACTAGCATGCATGTGATGAAAGCTGAATTCCTTCATTGCTTTCCTGTTACCTAGCATAATTTGTTTCAGGGAAATATTCTTAAACCTTCTGTAAGAGATATTGATAGAGAGAGAAAGAGAATAAATTGTATTATTGATTGATATATGTTGTTGTATATATTACAAATGGTGAGTAGCTCATTATATAGGAGAGGGTGAGTGTAGTAGGTGAGGAGTAGGTGAAGTGGAGGTGGTAGTGGTGTAGTGGGTTAGGTTTAGTGGAGTAGGTGAGGTGGTAGTGGTGTAGTGGGTTAGGTTTAGTGGAGTAGGTTTAAGTGGGTGAAGTAGGTGATAGGTTTTAACAGCCCCCCGCAAACTCAAGGGGGATAGAAACTAACCAACTTAAGTTTGGAGAGAGTTACAAAACAAGAAAATACATAAAAATAAAAAATGATAGGAGACACTGTATGGTCGTGTCAGACCATTGGTGAAGACACTGGATGGTGGTGTCATAACGTTGTAGAGGACACTGTATGGGGGTGTCATAACGTTGCAGAGGACACTGTATGGTGGTGTCATAACGGTGTAGAGGACACTGGATGGCGGTGTCAGACCGATGTAGAAGACAGTTTATGGGGTCATGTCGGACCGTTGTAGCAGACAATGTTGTGATAGTTGTTGTGACAGTTTACGGAGTCTTGCTGGACCCTTGTAGAAACTAACCGAAATCAATGTCGGGACAGTTTACAGAGTCTTGTCGGACCCATGAAGGAGCTAACCAGAATCAATGTCGGGACAGTTTACAGAGTCTTGTCGGACCCATAAAGGAGCTAACCGGAATCAATGTCGGGACAGTTTACAGAGTCCTTCCTTTTTGGACGTAGGTATATCTTAGTGCAATCATTGTGTACCTTTATACTAATGACTTGAAGCAAGCAGAGAAGTGCTACAATGACTGTTGTCGGTAAGTTCAAATTTCTTTCTGCATTTTATGATTTTTTTTTTGTCCCTTCAGCTTTCATTGTGGACATATTTGGTGATCCTTTGGACTATGGGACCAACACAAGCAGGAGCAATATTCTTCTTTATATTAATATTGGAATATCGAAGATTAAATTCCATGTGCTTGGGAAAAAGAAAAAGAAAAATTAAGTGACAGAAAATGATTATGTGTGCGACAATCTACAAATGATTATTGATGTAATGGCAGTTTTTTTCTTGAAGAGGACATCTTGCCCTCTCTGTTTTTCCTTTTACTCATCAATAAAACTCCTTTTGTTGCTAATCAGCAAATAAAATAAAATGAAATAATAACACCCACAGTTTAAGGTCACCAAAGCACATACATTTTTTTTTTTTTTTTTGATGAGTATCAAAGCACCCACATTTAACTTCTTGTTGAGATTCATTTTAACAATTTTCCGTGATGTCTAGCCCCTACTCTTCCATGCGCTGATTTTCATCTTACTTCTATTCCAAATATTGTTGGCAAAGACCATTAGCAATTTAAATGAGTTTGTTAAAATCCACCTACTTCACCCACTTAAACCTACTCCACTAAACCTAACCCACTAAATCCACATACTCTCCACCTACTTCACCCACTTAAACCTACTCCACTAAGCCTAACCCACTACACCACTACCACCTCCACTTCACCTACTCCTTACCTACTACACACTCACCCTCTTCTATATATAGGAATCATGAATCATTGTAATAGAAATCAATATATCAATCAATAATAATACATACAATTTATTCTCTCTCTTTCTCTATACATTATTTCTTACAGAGTTGCTTCAAGCTGTTGAGGTGGAGTAACAGTCTCCTTTTTGTTCATTTCTTTTTGGATAAAGGAAATTATTTTAGAAAGCTCAGGAGAGTAGATAAAACCCAAGTACTGATTATGTTTCATCTTTAATCAATCTCCCTGTACCTTGTTTCTCATCTAAGATCGGAATGTTCAAGAACAATATTAGTAGAAGATTTTGTACAAATCAATCTTCTTGTCATTTAGAGGTCTTTTGAACTAAATGCCTTAGAAAACACATACCAACACACCATGGAGTGTAAATTTAGTAACAGTAACAATGAAAGCAGAGGAGAAGTGAAGATTGAGAACCAAGAACTGCCTAAGAGAACATTTTCGTTATTTAGGGTCGATTATTGCAACAGCGGGAGAGATTGATGCAGATGTGGCCCATGGGATAGGACTAAGGCAGGATGGTGTAAGTGGAGAAGTGCATCTGGGGTATTGTGCGATAAACGAATACCCACTAGACTAAAAGGTAAGTTTTATAGAACGGCTATTAGACCAACTATGTTGTATGGGACGGAGTGTTGGACAACCAAGAAACAACATGTGGATAAGATGAGTGTGGCTGAGATGAGAATGCTAAGGTGGACATGTGGTAAGACTAAACAAGACAGGATTAGGAATGAGTGTATTCGGGAATGGGTAGGAGTAGCACCGATAGAAGATAAGTTAAGAGAGAATCGTTTGAGATGGTTTGGTCATATTCAACGAAGACCAATAAAGGCAGTAGTGAAGAGATGTGATGCTGCAACGGTAGATGTAAGTGTTAGGGGACGGGGTAGGCCTAGATTAACGTTGACTAGCGTTTTAAATAGAGATATGAATCTACTTAATTTGACTAATGAAATGGCCTTTGATAGGGCCGCGTGGAGAAGAAGGATTCATGTAGCCGACCCATTTGATGGGACTTAAGGCTTGGCTTGGTTTGGTTTATATATATATATATTTGCTATGTAAATTAATATTATGTTACCAAACAATCAAAATTAATAAAAATTAACATTAATTCAATATATATAAAAGTCACTACTTTTATATTTATAAAGGCAAAAAAAAAATAAATAGAGAAATTAAAAATATATTAGAATAATTATAAATACAACAAAAGATATAGACTTATAAAGAAAAAAAATAGGAAATATATAAATATAAATATACATATATATATATATAGAAAGAGAGATAGAGAGGTGTATACTTATAATCAGAAGAAATAAAAAATAAAAAAGGAAGAGGCGAGAGAGGAGCGAGATGCCAGAGACTAGAGAGAGAGAGAGAGGTGAGAAAAAGAGTGATTGAGCATCACTTAAGGATTATCATATAACAATAGTGTCAAAGAATTAGTTTAGATTTAAACCTGGTAGATTATATTTTGGAAACATAATATTTACTAAGAAGATTAATAAAAGTATAGAGAGAATAGATTTAGAAAAAGTTTATGATAGGATGCCTAGAGATATAATATGGTGGGTGTTGGAGTAAAAAAGTAAGACCAAAGGGGATATTAATGCGATAAAAAACATGTATGATTAAGTTGTAACTACGATTAGATCACCTACAAAAGAAACTAGTGAATTCTCAATCATTGTAGGGTTACATCAAGGGTCGGGTTTGAGTTCTTATTTGTTGTAGTCATAAACACATTTAGGATGTTCTGTGGTGTGTGTCATTCGCAGATGATATTTTCTAATAGATGAAACTAAGAAATTAACACTAAATTAAAAATGAAGGGAGAAATCCTTGAACCAAAAGGCTTTAAAATTAGTAGAAATAAAACTAAATATGTGGAATGCAATTTTAGAAGTAGAAATAATGGGAAAGGGAAGATTGAAAACTATGAGATAACACATAGTGAACACTTTCATTACCTAGGTTAGATTTTTAGTAACGATGGTGAGGTTGGGGATGATGTGATCCATAGAAACAAAGTAGATTGACTCAAGTGGAGTTGTGTGCTTGGCATATACGTTCATACATGACTGTAGCTAAGATGAGAATGCATACTTAGATGGATGCGTGGTAAAGACTAGGAAAGATAGAATTAGAAATGAATATATTCATGCAATAGAAGGATTAGAACCAATTGAAGATAAATTAAGAGAATAAATTAATATGGTTTGGTCATATACAACGAAGACCTATGGATGCCATATAATCATCATAAATAGAAGTGTCAAAGGGGAGGGGGGAAGATCTAAACTGACAAAGATGCAGTAGTAAAAAAAAAATATCAATTTACATTTTTCTCACCCAAAAAATAAAAAATAAAAAAAATTGAATTTATTTAATTTAATTGAGTATATAGGCCCTTGACAAAGCAAAACGGAAAAAAAAGATTCATTTAGCTACCCCTCTTGAGTGGGAAACAAGGCTTAGTTTGGTTATCAAGCTTTTGGCATTTGTTGGATCTTGTTATTTTTGTAGCATTGTACATAAAAAATGTTGTGCTTTTATTTTGTTATATATATACATTTTTTTTAATTTCAAACACATTGTCGAACCACTAATGTAGAATGCAAAATATTTTAGACAGCCCTCACCTCATATACAAAAGTTAACTTTCCCGTGATGATATTATTTTAAAAGAAGTTCCACTTTTGTTTGACCTACTACTTTTGAATTTTTCTTTGCAGGATTGATGCTTTTTTGAGTAGTGATCAGAATCGTTGTGCGAGTAAACTTCTTTCTGCATACTCGGACGATGATGTTGAAGAGATTAAACGTGTGGCTCAATCAAGCACTATAAAAAATCTTGACCATATGGTATGCCTTGAGAACTGGGTTTAAGCTTGCTTTGTGAATTTGGGTGAAGAATTTTGTCTTGTCGAATATGAATATGACTAGGTTTGGCAGTCCTTGAAAATAGTTTTCAACAAAATTTGAAGCGCGATTGATTAGATATTGTGCATATATAACTAATGTTGTCAGTTGGAGACTCTAGTTACTACAATCAAATTTGAAACTAATTAAACTCAGAGCAAGGCCAAAATGAAACTGAATTTAGTAAAAGGGTCTGCAGTTTCCACCATCTATAGGATTGAGTCCACATGCTACAGGCTTTATGAAAAACTTACATAAGATTTCAGCTTTTGGCCAATAAGTAGCACTAGTATGGAAAGAATTTGGATAAAGTAAGCATATTTTAATAAACCCTTGACCAAGGTCTACACTAATCAAAATATCGTGTTTTTGTACTTCTAAATGTCTAGATCTTATTAAATCATTCCCCCTTGGATCTTTGTTTGAAATTTGAGTTGCCGCCTTTTACACCAAATTGATCCTCAATATGTACATATATATATATATATATATTTGATAAGAGAAAATTGATTCTCAATCTTGATGAAGTAATATATCAACAATGCCACAGGTGCCGTATATTTCACTGTAGAAGGTGTGGGGCCCACCCACCTTGTGAGTTAGGGTGCTTTATGTAGTTGTCACTAGACTTTTTATGGCTCCGTTTGGGGAGTTTTTTAGCCAAAGAGCCACTACAAGTTGTCATGCCACTCTCTACTTCTATGCACTTCTTTTCGTAATAAGCCAACTAAAATAACTAATTTCCAAACCAGGGCCTATATGTATGCTCATGTTTCATGACAAAGATCAAATAATTATGAGCTAAGTGCACAGACCTCCCCTAAGGCTTTTGACAAGTATAGAGGGTAATTTTATTCGCACATCACAAAAAAAAATTAATGCACACCATTTATGTTGTTCAAATATAAACTTCCAAACAAAATAAATATTTGTTCGGACATAAACAGTTGAAGGGAATGTTTATTTAACCAATTTATTTTTGTCTGGAAGTTTATATCCAAATAGCACAAATAGTGTGTATTGAGAATTTATGTGGTGTGAATAGAATTTCCCTCACACGGACCTCTCTTGTGGTTTCTAAAATTGGTCGTCTTCCTCTATTAGAGTTGTCGAGTGATGGAAATTAATTGTAAATCGCCATTTAAATTCCATATTATTCTTGTCGTATAACCAAATACACCAAATTCATTTTGTTTTCAACACATCACTAGCGTATGACTCATTTGATCTCTCTCTCTCTCCTCTCGCTTTCCTTCTTTCCTACTTATGATGTAAGTAGTTATGTGTAATACGTTGTTATGTTAGTTTTTGTGTTAATTGCCTATAAATAGGGTGTAGATACCTCCTAATTAAGTTTTGATCAATTAAATTGTATTTTCAGAGCTTGAGCTCTTCTAATTCCTCATTGGAAATTTTCTCTCTTTGATCCTTTGATCCATCATTTGGTATCAGAGCCCAAGACTCATTCCTTTGTTCTTATCCCTACATATTGATTGCATGAATTGAGAAGGATTTCTCTGTTTCAATTGTGAGAACTAGATTTGAACCCTAATTTGGCATTTGATTTTCATATCACTTGCCTTGTGAGCCTTGAATAGTGTTTTGAAGCCCTAGCTTAGTGTCAAAGAGTTGATCAGTTGATTATAGTGGTCCAAGCCTTTAGTTGAGCCACTTCAAGCAAGCAAGACTTACATCTTCTTGGGGATCAGAGATTGGACTTCGATTTCTAGTTTAGATCTCAGATTTGATTTCACAATTTGATTTTGGTCTGTGAGTAGACTTTGCAATCTGATTTTGGCCTTTGATTCACATTCATGATCTTTGAATCGACTTTGTTGTTGTGATTCTTATATTGCAACGAGGATCTGTTGAGTTCAACCCAATTCCTTTTTTCTTATTTCAATCGAACTTCGCATTGATTCGACCTTGATCTGAGTTTGCGATAGTGATTCCTTTTCTGATTTCAATCTGACTTCACATGGATTTAATCTTGATTTGAGTTCGTGAACTGATTGCGATCTAGATTAGACTTCGTGAATTGAGTTTTGACTTCAATTCTGTCTCTGATTACACAATGAGACAGCTTAATGAGGTAGACATTAACAGAATATAGAAAAATAAAATTGAAACCAGAGATCAAACTTAGGAGTCTTACAAATTTAATAATGGATTATATCGAAAACCTCCAAACATAAAAATGGGTTCTTGATCCATGAATTCACCGCCCATCTTGACGTTTAAACCAAGTCCCCAAACCTTTTCCATAACAAGAAATGCAGATACTGCTCTTTTACTAGATACAAAAACTCATTTAATTTTTTATATATATAGCAAATTATAGTCTCTCTGTTTTATTTTATTTGTAGATGTCACCGTGATCTTTAATTGTATTCTTACATTTTTCATATTGCTTCTATTTAGTCTAATTAATAACGTCCCTTTTGAAATCGGACTGAAATCAATAAGCAAAATAGTATTTTTTTTTTTTGTTCTGTTCTTGTTAAGTAGATGGAGGAAAAATTTTGTGGATTTTTTATGGTGTGGAGAAGATTTTGTTAGGTCCAAATAATAACCTTTTTTGCCTTTTCTTCTTTCCAAACATGCTACTTGTGTCCTAGTATCAAAATTGATTAGTTCTTTCATTATCATAGAACACAACTCAGCCTAACGAGGTGGAGTGCTGATTGGAAGAGTGCTACTCTTTTGTATGAGCAAGCTGGTAGGTAATTTATGTATGCTTTTGTAAACTTTGAAATGGTGCAACACTATGAAGCACCGACACTCAAAATAGGGTCGTAGACGTAGTGGTGTCGGACATGAATGTCCCCGTTATTTGATTAATTTTGTTTTCTGGAGACACGCCAATTAATCTTTTTCTCATCTTCTCTAGTGCTTTTGATGAATGTTGAATGTCTACTTTTGGCTTGTATTTAAATAATTAATAGATCTTTCATAAAAAAGAAAAATAAAAAAATAAGAGTTAACTTAAGAGCGGGGTTTTTTTATATTGAATTAGTGTTAGTTTTTGTTAATTTTGTTGTGGCCATATCCCCATTTTTTTTGAAATCACCATGTTTGTGTCTGTGTCCGTATCCATATCCATGCTTCTTAGACGCAATGATAGTGATGCTTCCGAATATACCAAGAAAACTCACCGTTCTTTTGAGAATTCTCTTGGTGCTCCACAAAGGTACCAAGCAAATTCAGAATGTTTCGAGTACAAATGGAGATCAACATTAAGATTGAGCTTCCTAAATTCCATGGAAGTCTCAATCTGGATCAGTTTGTTGATTCACTCAAAACTATTGAGCACATGTTTCAGTATGGCAATATTCCCAAAGAGTAGGTGAAGTTAGTGGCAATTTGCCTCAAGGGAAGAGCTCCTGCTTGGTGGGAGCAATTGCAAGTGAATAGGCAATGCCGTGGCAACGGCAAGATCTAAGAGTGGGAGAAAATGAAGAAACTGAAGCAATTCTTGCCTTTTTATTACTTGCAAAATTTGTATGAGCACTTATATAACCTCAAGCAATATGGAGTGTTGAGGAGTACATGGAAACATTATACGAACTTCTTGTTCAAGTTGACCTTAATGAGAGTGAGGAACAAATAGCTGCAAGATCTATTACCGGCTTGGAGCCTAATATTCAAGATGTGCTTGTTCTACACATTTTGTGGTCAGTCTTCGAGCCTTACAATAGAGCTTTGACGGTTGAGAAGCAACAAAGCCAAGGTGTTATAGGACGGGACATGTCACACCCCAAACTCACCCCTGAAAGTTTGGGCATGACCAATTCAGAAACGGACATAAAATTTGGTTTGCATAACATATGGAGCCTGAACGGAAGCAATTATCAACATAACAGTATCCATTGAGCTATCACTACTATGCCAGGATCTCAAACATTGCATCAGATAGACAAACATACAGTGAACATACATATATGTACAGATCCAGCCCCATAATTGGGCGTGTAACAAAAGCATTGGTAAAAGAGGGTTATACACATTTCATAATATTAGACAGAAAATTTAGAGCACAAAGCTAAAAGCTTAGCAAGAACTCCACAAAAATGAGTGAGCTTCATCTAAGTGCTTGGACGCACTGAGGTTGACAAAAGAGAAACGGGCATGATGGGTTAAGACTGACCTCCAGGTTGGTTACCTACAGAGACAGACATAACATGGAGTGAGCAAAACTTAGTGAATAAAAGTACCTAAACAATTCACTGAATAAACTTGAATTATAATGTATATAAATGCAGAGAACATATGATTAATCTCATTCTGTAAATATTTTCAGGATGGCCTTGGGCCCAATCTTTATACAGAGTAGCTTCAAGCCCAGTAACATACAGAACAGCCTCAGGCCCAACAGACTTTACAGATCGGCCTCTGGCCTAACAGACTTTACAAATTGGCCTCTAGCCCAACAGATCTTATAGATTGGCCTCTGGCCCAGATACCAACAAAGCAGAATAATTCTGGAGTTGTACAGATGTACACAGATTTTCCAATCGTTCATAAAGGTTAGCACAGTCAATTTGCGAATAACAAAGCGTTAATAATAATTATTAACAATAAGCAAATGTACTACTATTGTACTTTACTCACAGTGCTGTGGTGGGGCGACAGTCCCTCCCGGTATGTGCCCTACATGCACATGTAGTTCAAGAATTAGTTCATTTTCTTTTTTATACAATATCTGATTTATTTCGCTTCGAATGAATTTACAACCATTTTAAGAGCATCAAATACAGATTTTAATAATATCAGAGGGTCAAACAAGGAAAACGGAGCAAACGGAATTTTTCGGCATGGGCCACACGTGCAGCAGTCCCCCTCCGCACGTGCAGTAAGATGGGCCGCACGTGCGATAATCTTCCCCCCGCACGTGCGGGTAATTTCAGTACCTCAAAGTTGAATTTCCCCTGCTTTCCGCACGTATGGCTGTGCGCCCTGCACGTGCGGCTGTGCTTCCCGCAAGTGCAGCCATGACCCCCACACGTGTGGTCGTAGCCCCTGTTTTGGGCAGTCCGGATTTAGGCACAAATTCACCAAATTCTCAACATCACAAAGGGAAGAAATAGGGTAAACAACACAATATAATGGCATAACAATATCATAAACATGGATTACAAGTTATAACACCATATAATCATAAATTACAAGTTTAATGAAATCATAATCTAACTCCTCCACTTGGTATATAAACAATAAAAATGTATAAACATGTAATTCCAACATAAGAATTCAAGGAGTAGATTTCAATTCCTTCACATCACCCAAATTACTTCCAAAATAATTCAATGGTAAGAAAACTCTTCCAATCAAGTGATTATCACACACTCCATCCCAATTACAAACCCTAGCTTACATATTAACAAGAAATTCTTACTCAAATTCAAGAGAAGGGTTGTACAAAGTGAGTTAAACTTACCTTGAGCTTAAATCTCTCAAATTCTTCTCAAGTTCTCAATCTTCTCTTGTTGAACTCTCTTCTTCCCCTCAAACTCTCTTCTTCTCTAACTCTCTCTCAGGGGATATTTTTGAGTTAAGAATTCCCAAATCAAATGTGTGAAGATAGATATATATCTAAATGTTAAATAAAACAAAATTTAATCAGTTTAATCATTTCGAATCAGATTTTTACAGAAAATCAGATTATGATCTAAAAATCATGCTGATCTCAAATATAAAGTCAATTTCAGATTATTAAGCTTTTAAGGCTTTCAATTTCTGATCCGAACATCATAATTGTAACAGATATTTCTCTTATTAGATAGATATGAATCTATAATCATAAGATTCACTCAATTAAACTTAATTTCGCATGGAATTTCACAGCAAGCACGTAAATGCACAGAGTAAGGGACTGAAAGCATACCAGAAAACATGTAGGAGGGTCGGGTTATTACAGGACAACACCTTCAAGGAGGTTTCCAAGGTGGTTTTAGGCTGGACTAATCCACTCCTTGCTTTGCTAAGGCTTGTCCTTAGTCCTTCATTGAAGAGTGTGGATAGGTCTGCCCCGGTGAAAACTCAACACACTAATGGTGCTTCCGGAAGCCAGAATTCACCCAAAGTGGTGGTTTTAAGTTCTTTAAGTGTGGAGAACTGGGTCATAGGTCTTTGGATTGTTGCAAGACTTTGGGCAACAACCAGAGCCAAGTGCTTCCTATTGAGAAAGTTCTGGAACAAGATTGAAATGGTGACGTTCGTATTTGTGACCAACCACCTAATGAAGAGATTGGAGGGGATAGTTGTCAATAAATAAATAATAATAATAATAATAATGAGATTGGAGGGGATAGTGTGAGGAAGATGGACTTGCTCTCATGATGAAGACTCTTCTGACACCTAAGCAAGAAAATGAAGTGGATTAGTTGCATACCAATATTTTTTACACCACTTGCAACATTGAAGGCTCTGTTTACAATATGGTCATTGCTAACGGTGGTTGCGAGAATGTAGTTTTTCAGCAAGTGGTTAGAATGTTGAACCTCAAGGTTGAAGATCATCCTCATCCTTATGCCCTTTTGTGGTTCAAGAAGGGAAATGAGATCAAAGTTAGTAAATCATAGTTGATATTGTTTTCTATTCGCAAGTACTTTGATGAGGTACCACACTATGGGCCTGTTTGATTTGTTGGAGTAATAGTGATAGATTATAATCCATGGGATTAATCATTGGATTGACTGTCCAACTCAATTAGTAGGATAAATATGTGTAGGATTATTAGTACCTACCTCCATATGGTATTGAATATTCCACAATTTTGTGGGATTAGAAGTCCTACGTATTACTAGGCCGGCCATCATTTATGCCATCCAAACGTAGGAATATATATATATATATATATATATCGTTAGATTAACAATCCAATCCTATGCTCTAATACTGGAATCAAACTGGCGCTATATGTTATCTCGCACCATAGCATTTTTAGAATATGTACCTGTACCAAGAAAAGCCATCCTTCAGAAACAGAAATGTGGTTGAGATCAGCATTGACCCCAAAATGCGACTTCAATGTACTCTTCCAATTGGTTTTTTCTTTTTCTTTTTTATTTTTATTTTTTTATGTGGGTGTTCTATTAATTGCAAATAAACAAATAAGATTCTCCAAGTAATTATTTAAGTTTACTAGTTCAGGGGTATAGCAAATTTACGGTCTCTCAATTACAGTAGAAGGCTGTGTTGCATCCCCACCCCCCACAAAAGGTAATAGACCCCATGAGTTTAAAATGTGAACAAGATGTTAAACCCACTTCTTTCCTCTGTCATCACTTTCTTTTCAAGAGTGTTCCTGTTTGGCATTTTGTTTTGGCATTAATACCATCATTATTTTCGTTTTGGTTCGAATTGTTCCTTCCATTGGTTTCAAGTATCAGCCAATTAACAATCTAGTTGCTTTTATTTTAACGCTTTTTGGTTGTTAAGATCCCTTTTCTGGCTGCTGTAAATGCCCGAATGCCAAGAGAAGGGAGAATGGGGGGGAACTAGTAGTCAGATAAAGGCTTTCCACTATACTATTAGCATTGTATTATGTTAAATAGTTATTATTATTACTATTGTCATGTATGTTTCTTATAGAAGGGATTTGGCAAATGCATAATTTTATGGATGGATTTAACTGAAATAAATAAATGGCTGCAGATCATCAGGCTTGCAAGGAAGTTGCCAGCTGGTGATGTGAGTGCACTGAGGGCTGATGCAGCCAGAGAACAAGAAGAGGCACTGGATGAAGATGACCTGACTTAGCTTATCTTGCCGGCCAACTCATCTTGATTGATCTGTGTTCCTTTTTCACGTATGTGTGTATTTTCCTCTGTTTATATGCAAGATATGAACATAACTTGGTGCCCTCTAAGCCCTCTAAGCCCTCTAACATTTACAATGTGCTCTTGTTCCACATACCTGAATATAAAAACAGGTTTTGAATAGGAGTTCTAGCATATATGGATATTGGACAGATTCATTTGATATTTCGGATTTTCTTTTCCCTTTTCTTTTTTTTTTTTTTTTTTACATGGAAACATTCTACGAACTTCTTGTTCAAGTTGACCTCAATGAGAGTGAGGAACAAATAGCTGTAAGATCTATTACCGGCTTGGAGCCTAATATTCAAGATGTGCTTGTTGTACACATTTTGTGGTCAGTCTTCGAGCCTTACAATAGAGCTTTGACGGTTGAGAAGCAACAAAGCCAAGGTGTTATAGGACGGGACAGCACCTTCAAGGAGGTTTCCAAGGTGGTTTTAGGCTGGACTAATCCACTCCTTGCTTTGCTAAGGCTAGTCCTTAGTCCTTCATCGAAGAGTGTGGATAGGTCTGCCCCAGTGAAAACTCAACGCACTAATGGTGCTTCCGGAAGCCAGAATTCACCCAAAGTGGTGGTTTTAAGTTCTTTAAGTGTGGAGAACTGGGTCATAGGTCTTTGGATTGTTGCAAGACTTTGGGCAACAACCAGAGCCAAGTGCTTCCTATTGAGAAAGTTCTGGAACAAGATTGAAATGGTGACGTTCGTATTTGTGACCAACCACCTAATGAAGAGATTGGAGGGGATAGTTGTCAATAAATAAATAATAATAATAATAATAATGAGATTGGAGGGGATAGTGTGAGGAAGATGAAGGACTTGCTCTCATGATGAAGACTCTTCTGACACCTAAGCAAGAAAATGAAGTGGATTGGTTGCATACCAATATCTTTTACACCACTTGCAACATTGAAGGCTCTGTTTACAATATGATCATTGCTAACGGTGGTTGCGAGAATGTAGTTTTTCAGCAAGTGGTTAGAATGTTGAACCTCAATGTTGAAGATCATCCTCATCCTTATGCCCTTTTGTGGTTCAAGAAGGGAAATGAGATCAAAGTTAGTAAATCATAATTGATATTGTTTTCTATTCGCGAGTACTTTGATGAGGTACCACACTATGGGCCTGTTTGATTTGTTGGAGTAATAGTGACAGGATTATAATCCATGGGATTAATCATTGGATTGACTGTCCAACTCAATTAGTAGGATAAATATGTGTGGGATTATTAGTACCTACCTCCATATGGTATTGAATATTCCACAATTTTGTGGGATTAGAAGTCCTACGTATTACTAGGCCGGCCATCATTTATGCCATCCAAACGTAGGAATATATATATATATATATATACATCATTAGATTAACAATCCAATCCTATGCTCTAATACTGGAATCAAACTGGCCCTATATGTTGTCTCGCACCATAGCATTTTTAGAATATGTACCTGTACCAAGAAAAGCCATCCTTCAGAAACAGAAATGTGGTTGAGATCAGCACTGACCCCAAAATGCGAATTCAATGTACTCTTCCAATTGGTTTTTTCTTTTTCTTTTTCTTTTTCTTTTTTATTTTTATTTTTTTATGTGGGTGTTCTATTAATTGCAAATAAACAAATAAGATTCTCCAAGTAATTATTTAAGTTTACTAGTTCAGGGGTATAGCAAATTTACGGTCTCTCAATTACAGTAGAAGGCTGTGTTGCATCCCCACCCCCCACAAAAGGTAATAGACCCCATGAGTTTAAAATGTGAACAAGATGTTAAACCCACTTCTTTCCTCTGTCATCACTTTCTTTTCAAGAGTGTTCCTGTTTGGCATTTTGTTTTGGCATTAATACCATCATTATTTTCATTTTGGTTCGAATTGTTCCTTCCATTGGTTTCAAAAGTATCAGCCAATTAACAATCTAGTTGCTTTTATTTTAACGCTTTTTGGTTGTTAAGATCCCTTTTCTGGCTGCTGTAAATGCCCGAATGCCAAGAGAAGGAAGGGAGAATGGGGGGGAACTAGTAGTCAGATAAAGGCTTTCCACTATACTATTAGCATTGTATTATGTTAAATAGTTATTATTATTACTATTGTCATGTATGTTTCTTATAGAAGGGATTTGGCAAATGCATAATTTTATGGATGGATTTAACTGAAATAAATAAATGGCTGCAGATCATCAGGCTTGCAAGGAAGTTGCCAGCTGGTGATGTGAGTGCACTGAGGGCTGATGCAGCCAAAGAACAAGAAGAGGCACTGGATGAAGATGACCTGACTTAGCTTATCTTGCCGGCCAACTCATCTTGATTGATCTGTGTTCCTTTTTTTCGTGTGTGTGTGTATTTTCCTCTTGTTTATGTGCAAGATATGAACATAACTTGGTGCCCTCTAAGCCCTCTAAGCCCTCTAACATTTACAATGTGCTCTTGTTCCACATACCTGAATATAAAAACAGGTTTTGAATAGGAGTTCTAGCATATATGGATATTGGACAGATTCATTTGATATTTCGGATTTTCTTTTCCCTTGCCTTTTTTTTTTTTTTTTTTTTTTTTTTTTTTTTTTTTTTTTTTTTTTTTTTTTTTTGTGTGTGCGCATGCGTTTCTTTTCAGCTGACAATGAAAGTTATGGAATAAAAACAGGGTATAATTCAAGAGTTAATTTTGTGTCGGTCTGATTGGCTATTCATGCCATTAAAGGGGCAATTTTTCTTGAAGAGTAATGCTCTTACAAACAGAATTTCGTACATAATTCTTCCACGGAATAATGTGATTTTTTTATAGTTCTTTCATTGTCAAAACACTCATCATTGTAACTCATATTTTGAAATATATGTATAACCTTGTTTTTAAGATATTTCAAAATACTTTTTTAGTTGTAATCAAGTTGCATATTTATGAGTATCTCCTATGGGTTAATAGTTAAAATGTTTCTCCAATAGAGAAAGTCTACCACCCCTATCTAGGGGTGGATAAACATTGGGTTGGGCTGGCATGATATAGTGAAAGTATGCCTCTTCACTTGCACAGAGAGACGTAAAAGAGTGTGAAAGAGAGTTGCACAAGAGAATTAGAAGATGGAGGCGGTAGGGGTGATGCAGGAAAGGGCCTATGGAATCGCATATGTAAGGGTAGAGGGGGTTGTGGAAGGTAGTTGGAAGAGAAAAGAGGGAATTATAGATAGTGGTTAGGGAAGGGAGTAGGGGCTAGGGTGGGTGGTGAGGGAGGCTAGGGTGTGGCAATGAGAGATGGGAAGGGATTGGAGGCTACCAAAGATAGTGTCGACGCTAGCTAAAAAGTGAAAGGAGATTGAGTGAATTTCAAGATTGTCTTGGAATTCAAATTCAAAGGATTGCTTTGGGAGCTCTCCCTACGTCCTATGTGTAGGGACGAGTTCCAAATAAGGAACGGAGGAGGGACTAGGGTGGGTGGTGAGGGAGTGTCGCGACCCAAACCCGGCCCTATGGGTTTAGCATCGTAATCGGCCAGTAATCCGAGATTACCACAGGCCTGCAGAACAGTAGTATAGTAAAACAGAGTACAGGGCTTGGCGGAAGCCAATACAGTAAATGAATAATGTCTATTGAGCTGTGTCAGTCTGTATGCCAAAAAGATTTTTCATGCATTCACATATACAAATAGTACAGTCTATACAAAATTTACAGTCACACAGTACAGGGACCTAATCCCTTGATAACCGTACAGTAAACATTCAGTCTATACGGAACAGTAGACGGTACAGAAGGGGAAATTGTAAAACACCCCTAAGCCTTAACACGATAGGCTCGGAACCTCGCAGTGAGGCACATAGGCTGGCTTGACAAAACTGGAGTCTAACCCACGCTCCTAGCTCCGGTCTGGTGGCTGAGCACCTACATATATATATAAACAGTGAGCTAAAGCCCAGTGAATAACATAATGCGTAAAGGGGTTATGAATGAAATGTCCTTACAGTAATGAAAACAGTCCATTAAATCAGTATTTCAGTCAGAACAGTTATTCAATCATATGTGGTACATCCATTAGCATAGCAGTAAACAGTAGGTCTTAAAGACCGAACAGTAATGATGGCCATCAGTCAGTAAACAGTAGTGGTTCCACGAGGGAACCGACAGAGATCTCTGTAACAGTAACAGTAACAGTAACAGTAGATGTCAAGGATGCCACAGTACAGTTTAGAATATAGGACATACATTCATTCAGTAAACAATAGCAGTTCAGTAAACAGTTCAGTTCAGTATTCAGAAGATAATCATTTGAACATATCTTTACACAATTGTTACTCACAGAGTTCGGGCTACAGTAAGCTAGAGCGTGTCTCCCCAGTCGCCAACCCTACACAGTTAACAGATTGAACACACTAAGCTGCGCAGTTGGGAAATATAACAACTTAATCCCTAATGCCTCGGTGTGTTCTATCTCTATATCCTCAACAAGATGTCTTAAACTAGGCCTAAGAATGCCTAGAATGGGATGAGGATGTAAAGATGCACATTTAAAGCATTTTCAGAAAAACAGAGTTCCGCTCGAGCGCAGGTTTCCCCGCTCGAGCGGTAATGCAACAAAGGTACACGCTCGAGCGTAAACTTTCCCGCTCGAGCGTACTGTAAAAGTACTGGATGGGTGAAATCTCCGCTCGACGCCCGCTCGAGCTTGAGACATGACTCCGCTCGAGCGCCCGATCCTCCGCTCGAGCAGACTGTAAAACAGTGCAGAGAGATGCTGGATGCTCGGATTCCACGCTCGAGCGGAATTTCCCCGCTCGAGCGGAAGTGCGAAATCTGGAAAACCCAGATTGCACCTCCAAGCTCAAACTCAAGTTTAAATGCATCAAAACCGATCCTCTTGGGCTGAATTTCCAGAAAACATTTATAAACACATAGATTAACATGGTTCAAAGCTCAATTTGAGAAGTCAAAGCCCAAGGGTGTTTAATTCAAATCCAATTTCAGACCATTTTCCAAGAACATGGAGAACATGCAAACATGCATGATCTTAAATCATTTTCAAAGCTTTAATGCTGTTTCAAAAGAGCTCAAACCTTCAAAAACAAGATGAACTCATGGAGTATGACCAAAAGATGGACATGCATGTGAGGAAACGTGGACTACAACCTCAAAACTTCAATATATGTACATGCATGCAACAATTAAGCCACAATTCAACATCTAAACCATGTTTTGGCTCTACACTCCATCAATATGGC